GCACTCCATATGCTGTCAAATATAATAACCATTTGAGTCACATAAGGAGAATATAAAATTACTAAAACAAAATCAGTTCTTTTCAGAACTACAACATATTTATTAAGATGATTGATTTCTAGATGTATCTGTGACGCCTATGATTAGTAAGTATTCAAAGTTATGTTTTATTGCAAATGAGGATGAGTGATTTCCGGTCAGCAGGTACGTAGATAGGTACGGTAATCCGCACTTAACATCTGAACCAGATACTTATGAATGTTTTGATGTCATTAGTCAATTCATAACACATATTATTTATGATTGTTAATCTTCGTATTTATTAATTTATTTTTAATTTTATTTACGAAAATAACTGGGTCAATTGATTTTCTTATTGTTTAGTTATAAATTAAATAATAATTAAATAAAATAAGAATTCAATGTATCATATTACGGGGAGCGTTTAATTTAGTTTCTAACTGAAAGCGAAATAAAAATATTCCTTATCAATAATTATTAAAATGTAAATTACTAAAACAAAATCAGTTCTTTTCAGAACTACAACATATTTATTATGTGATAGAATCTCGTGGTCGGTAGTGGGATATACAAAAAATAAGTAAACCCTGCGCGGGCGGTAGTGGCACTCGAGCAGGTAGTTTTTGGTCGCGGTCGGTAATGGGACGGTCTGTACAGGGATATAGCCCAACAGGACCATCTATTTTTTTAGTAACTAAATTGACTTAATACTATTTTATTTAAATTAACAAATTGTTTATAATTATAGCCGAAATAAAAACAGAAATGCTATTATTTATCGATTCTACATAAGAATAACCTATTTTAATGTATGTTTAATCTCAATAACTAAATATACTGACAATTAGTTTGACAGAATTGTCACTTATTTAAAATTTTAAAAATAATAGCAGTCGGTTGATCAAAATATGAACGGTGATTGGTGGGTTCCATTTTTTTTTGCAGTGTATTCACTACCTAGAATGGATATAAAATATATTCGTTCAGTTAAAGGCAATAAAATACTTTTTCGTTTTGTAATCTGTCCGTAGATAAGCTAATATTCATGTAGGTGTAGAAAAAATATATTATAATTGTACCCTTAAGCATATTAAAATTAATGATACAATTTATAAAAGTAATTTTAAAAAATCGTGCGGGTGCCTTTAAAAATTAAGATTTTTTATTTGCTCAAAGATCATCAGATCTTGACCAATTGTATATGGAACTACCCCTGAGGTATCCACTTTCTAACAAAAAAGAATCATAGAAATCGGACAATTTAGTAAACAATTATCACTGAACACTGAACTTAAAAAAATATATATTCCGACTAATTGAGAACCGGTTAATAAAATTATTTTTAATATAAATACTTACGCACAAAATACAGGATTTTAGAGTACTAACCTGGAACAAAAAGAAAAATTATTATAATTTTATATTTTCACGAGTAAATTTAAAATTTTTAAAACAATACCGACCAATAAATGACCAGCATACGGTTGTTGAATTTACTAATTTTAGATCTGATCATTTTTTCAATAGGTGTACCACAAGGATGTCATCTTGATACCCTATTATTTATCTGATACATAAAGAATATAAAAAGGTACTTGCAATTTAAAAACTTGCTTTTTTACATTAAGGATTTAAGGATATTCGACAAAGCACTTCATGGGAAGCAATGTATAATGGGATATGCTACAAATCCTGTAAATTTGACCATGTGGTAAAGTTTATCGTAAAATCGCTGAAAATGTTTCATTCGGCAATGGTAACGTGTCAGTTATTTGAAAAATATATGACAAGAATAATATAAATGAGAGCATCACTGGATAGTTTTTTCATATATTATGTTGAACAAAATATGAGGCTAAAATTAATATTCCAATGTCTACAGGGGTTATACAACTACGCTTTAATTGAGGTTTTCGTAGTGTCGTGTTTTGTTCCTTTTAGACCCAGTAACGGTACAACTCAATCAATTTTACCTCTTGAAGGTTATTGAGTTAATAAACTACTCTCTTTAATTTCATAACATTAATAAATTTTACTTGTTGGAAATACATCTAACATATTATAATACACAGGATGTCCTGAAATTAGACGGTCATGTTTTAACAGCGTAATCTACATCCTAAAACAGGAGTAAGTTTATATAAACATAGGTTCGAAAATGTTTTGTTTCCGAGGTACAATGTGTTAAAAGTGAAGTCCTGATGACACATTTTTGTAAATATTTTCTAAACTTTTAAAGATAACTAAGTGAAATTTGGTACAAATGCTAAACTTTTTACGGCTCTATTTAATTATCTTCGTAGGTGTGTAAATAATGGGAGGGGCTTAGGGTTAAATTGTAAGTTTTTTTATTGACTGTTAAAATTTTTGACTACAAAATTTGGAAAATCAACATTGTCTATATAATAAAGCTACTTTTGTTGTATCTCGCTAGGACGCAATATTTTCCAGAGAAAAGCATTTAAAAATTACATGATAAGTTGATGTTATCTTATTCGAAAATGTGAACAATAATTAGTAGGCCTGTGGAATCAGAAATTTTATTTTTTTTTAACTTTTGGTAAACCGGTGACTAAAGAAATTTTAGAAAATATTTGAATAATTTCGAGACACCCTTATAGTTCAGCCCTCAAACCGATTAATCAGTTGATAAATAAACAACCAACCCTCTAAATAATTCATCAATTTAATCTAATAAAAGTCCAATGAATAATTAAAATACAAAAATAAGAGCCTCCCTTTTCCCGTTGAATTAATTGAAAGTTTCGAAAACAACAAATTTAAAATAAATTTCGTCTTGCTCCTCTCTTTACCTCTTTTATATAAAAAGTAAATATTTTCGGGACGAGCAGAGCGAGGTCTCGCAAAATGAACGAGTAATATAAAACGTAATTTTGTAACATATGTTACATATAAGATTTTTCTTATTTTAATTTAATTATAAAATTGGGTTTGGTAAAAAATAACTTACCATTACTGGTCAAAGATTTTATAAAAAGAATATTTAGAAAATTGTTGAGAAAGCATGTTGTATTTTATATAATTTTATTTATTTGAATGAACACATGTAGTTATTTAAAAATATTTCAAAAATTTTTATAATTAATATCTATAAAACCAATATTACGTTTACACTGTTAGTTAAATAATTTACATATTATACATATATGATTGTAAACAATAGAAAATCATAAATAATTATTATTGGATCTTTGTTTTGATTATTTTGTGCAGATTTAATATGGAAAATACCTAGGGACCAAAACATGATTATTACTAGGTTGTAAGTGCATTAACAAAATATATTTTTATATAGCCAACCTTCATTATTTCGGTATACACTTTTAAATTATTTTAAAACCAAAAAAAAGGTTTATTTTAGATCTTTTCTTTTCGGAACTGGTGACATAAAGTATATCGTCTTGACACTTGCTGGGATTACAAAAGATGTCACGTTATGTGTCAAAATTAGAAAAAGTTATGTGTAATACATTGTTAAATTTTGAAATGGTTTAATCCTAAAACAATGTGCCAAATACATGCGAACTTTAATTTAAACACCTTATCAGACTTTTAGTTTTTACCTGTAAAGCAAAGCTGCAGAGGAATTTATTGCGAAAATTCAATCACTTTTGGTATTACTTTTGATATTGCAGTCCATCAAGTTGGCTAACCAGCGCCGGATTCTATAGTATCAATACAGTTTTATTGTTTCCGGCCCAAATTTGAGCCATTTTAGGCGATTTATAGAGTCGGTCTAGGAACTTAAAGCTGGATATTACATTTTCTGGCCTTACCTTCAAGTCTAATTACAAATTACAACTTTGACATCCGACATATTTACAGATGTCATGTCATTATTAAATACTGACACTTGTTAATGACACCTTGTGACCTTGTATCGGTGTGAGCAGGTATTAAAAATAAAAGTATTTTATTTTAAATTAATTTATAATTTTTAAATTGTTTATTTAGCAATGTGGCATATACAATCCGTTGTTATTGGTAAGATGAATATTAATATTATTGAATTACTTTTGTTTGACAGTATGTATCTTGACCTAATTTATTTTTATTTTATTTTCAAACATTTTTAAAATTTAAAATATTTTACATTCACATTTTTAATGCATTACTATTTTAATCTGTTTTTTTAATCTTCAATTAAATTTATGTAAAGCAACATTGATTTAGCTAGCATTTTTTTTCTCCACACGAGCTTAGCTTTCGGGGTTCCTTAGGAATTTGGACGGCATATTGACTTAATCAGTGTTGTTATAGTTTTTTTTTTTTTTGTTATAAAAATGTTAAACATATTGAAAAATCTTTTATTTATATTTCTATACTCATTACAGATATGTTATGTTGGGTGTAGGGTATTAATACAATGCGACCAAAAACATTTTTTGTGTCTCTTATGTCGCTAATGTAATAAGGAAATAGTATCGATGTCTATAACGATCCTTTTAATCCTACCATGTTAAGAAAGTGTAGAATTTGTAGTGGCTTTAAGTTAGGGTAGATCACCATCTGCTAACGTATGTTTCAAAAGTTTTTGGAAAATTTTACAATAATACGCACCTACAGTAAGTAACGTCTTATCAGGTTACCGTTGGAAACAAATAGCATCAAAGTTTTTGAAGTTTAATATGACATGTCATTTATGTTAAAATATTTAAGTAAGATGGATATTCGTAAATGTATTTATCAGTTGGTTGGGCGAGTACCTAAGCATAATATTGTCAGAATGTATAGGGACCAAAATATGTCTGTTTCGACAATCTACCAGACAATAAAAGAATGCGAGGAGGGTATACCTATCACAAATTTACCAAAAAGTGGTCGGTCCAAAGTTTTGAGTCGAGCAAATGAACGAAGATTAATTGAAGAAGAAAAGAACAAGATTGAAATATCGAATATATTATGTTTCAAAAGCAACTGTTTTTAGAACATTCTCCAAAAAAGGCACCATATTATAGCGACAATCAGTTCCGAGATATGGACGTGCTTTGAAACGTGTTCATTTTCCTGGTAAAGTTATTGTTATTGACGATGAAAAATATTTCACATTATCGAATTCTGAGATCAAAGGCTATGATGGGTTCTATAAAGATAATGTACAAAATATTTTAGATAATGTGAAATTCAAGAGCAAATATAAGTTTGAGGACAAAATCTTGGTAAGGTGCGCCATATCGAATAATGGTGTTTTACAGCCGTATGTTGAACGTGTTCATGGTGAAGCCATCAATGCTGACATTTGCATCGGTAGAAGTCTTACGAAGCTACGGAATTTTATTGTTTTTCATCAACGCAACGACCAAATAATACTCTGGCCTGATTTTACGTCGTCTCACTACGCCAGAAGAACGACAGACTGGTTAGCTGCAAATGCCATCATTTTTGTTCCCAAGGTCGTCAACCCTCCAAATGTACCTCAGGCGAGACCCATTAAAGATTTTTGATCTATAGTGAGCAGAAAAGGGTACGATGGCGGTTGGGAAGCCCAAAATGAGAAAAACTAAGGCGCAGTATATGCCAGAAAATCCAAGAAGTCGACATCTCTACCGTCCAAAGATTGATGGCACATGTAAGGACCATATTACGTACAATAGAAGAGAATGGATCATTATCCATCATGTGAATATTTAGTGGAAATAAGAATTAGCGTAGTTATTTAGTCACGTTGTTAAAACACAAAATAAATTAAAAATTTTATCAAATTTTTTTACCATTACTTTTTTCCTAAACCTTTCAGGAATACGTTATTTAATATGCTTCTAAGTGCCCTTGGATTCTGGTGTGTTATACATTCAGCAGGAATGTGAAAAAAGGTTTTGTCCTCCTCCTCCTACTTCTCCTCACATAATTTACATGTACTATCTTCTACTACTCTTAGTTTACTGAGGTTTACTTTGAAACGGTAATGCCCGGTAAGAATCCCTGTTACAATATCTACCCTGTTCTTGCTCAGGCAGATACAGGCATTTGATCTTTTCTAGTTATATTCTTCAAAAGCTATCTTAGCTTGTCTTAGCCCCACGAGATTTTTCCAATTATCGGTTCCCCTACTGCCAATTTTTTTTTTAATCTCTCCTAATATTGTGTTACTGATGGTAAAGCAGAATGGCTTAGGTTTCACAAAAGGTGTTCATGTTCCTTTCCTTACGAGACTATCTGCAATCTTGTTTACTTCGTTATGTCCAGAGACCCAAGTGAAAGTAACTGTATTTTTTTTGCCTAGCTCATTTAGTTTTTCTAAGCACCTCCAAAGCATTTTGAGCTGATTACGTAAGAGCTCAGTGCTTGCTTGCGATAGTTTCTTCCAGTGTTGAACTGTATTCAATGGTAATAATTTTAGTCTGCAAGATGCTTGGATATATACCCAATCATTTAGAGTGCCAGGTTCTATATGCCAATACCTTTCTATTGCAGTTCCATCTGTGATTTTGAAACCATTTGTATACCAATAAATTAGGGGCCATTTGGTTAAAAACACGATGGATTCGTGGCTCCTTTCTCGCATTGCAGATAATCATTAAAGATGGTTTAATGCCGAAAGCTCTTTTTTAAATTTTGCGCCAAATTGAAGTTTTTCATTGATTAATTTAACATCTATACTCATTAATCAAAATCAAAGCAGGCTTAAGTACCCAGTTCAATGAACAAGGTGGGGTAAAACTCAAACTGCCTTAAAAAAATATATAATATTTATTTGAAAAACGTGAGTTATCAAGCATTTTTAGTACCATTTAATCTTTAATATTTTGACGCAAAGCCGCCTCTGTTCTTTGTTTACTCCTTGCTTGCGGTATAAATTCTAGCGCTGGTAATACAGAGACAAACACACTGCTTCGAGAAGCAAACGGATAGATTGCTATATGGCGTCTGAGTCATAGAGAGGGAGTTTTCGAATATTCTGGTACAGAGCTGGCTTTATATAAATAGCGGGAGTTTGTCGACGGACGTTAAGTTTTAAATTAAGTGTTGGATAGAAAAAATAAAAATGTAATAAATAAATTAGAATTGTGAGTTGAAACAGTGCCTGAGTATTATATAAATTAATTGATATGTTATAAATAAATTGTAAATAAAGTGTTTTAAATAAATAAACTATAAATAAATTAAACAATCGTTATAATATTTAAATGAAAAGATATCGGCCTTTTCTGGCATACCATAACATAACAAAAAAAAATGTGATAATCATGTCATTTTCATGTATTCGTCATACTTCTAAAGAATGTACTATGATATATCTACGTCAAAGGATGTACAGAAAACATGTTTCGTAAGCTTATTGTTTATTGCATTTTAAACGAATGTAATATTCACATACTTAAAGGAATGTTCTATGCACATCCTTAAAAGAATGTGCGCGCTCGCATATAAAATGCATTAACGACGAAGTATAGACTGTTTCTTTTTTTCTAATACCATTCAAATTTGTTTTCGTTTGTCTCAGTTTATAATTCTTGAATCGTCCTGTATATTTCACCAAATGTAGAAGGTAATAGATAGATTAGAATGCTTTACACCTTTCATCTCTTTTTTTATTAGAGTTAAAATTAATTTAATTTAAAAAATGTTCTCTTGCTACAGGACAAAGTTGTTCATTCACATACAATGGAATTTACATTTTCTCGAAAATGTCTTGAAAACTGATTTACTTTTTCGAATCTACGAAATATTCTCTATCTATATGCGAAATCGCAAAATTCTCAAGAAAAACAAATAGTATCTTATTTTCATTAAAAAATATTTTTGGTCTCCGTTTTTTAGGAAAATGTTGATACACATAAAAGAAAGCAAAATAAATTTCGGAGAGTAGCCTGTTGCTTTGTCTCTAAAACCAGTCAAATTTGATTCCGTTTTCCTTAGTTATCTTGAATCATCCTTAGCTTTCACCAAATGTAGAACAAATGATAAATTAGAATGCTTAGAACCGCTAATCTTTATCTTAAAATTTACTGGGACGAAAATAGCAATAAAAAAGAATAATAATATATTTATTACATCAAGATATACTGTTAATTTTTTATTGTTGATCGTATCATTCTGAAACTATTTTCTTAGTTCATATCAAACGGAAATGAGTTCAAAAGAAAACTCAAATTAAAAAACATTGCGAATCGAAACCGCAAGTAATAATCCAAAAAAAGTAAAACACTCGCGAAATAATAGCATGTTACCGTTCAATCTCGCGTTTTTCATTGAAATAATTTCCTGAAAAAAAGGGAAACCATAATAACTATGCATTCGACTTTAAAGCCTTAAAAGTCTACACGGAGTACATAAATAGGCATAATCTCTATTTACGCGCACGACAAAAGACAACCGCAACAATGAGCCACTTTTCACATAATATGCGAAATGCGGGACGTTCGACAGATGCCGACTTTACGCCGACAAAACTCAGTCGTATGAATTAAAACACGGCGAATTTACTGAAAGCGAAAGTCTGTATTCCGTAATAATACTCGATTTTGTATTTTATTTTGACGTTGTTTCTGTGTTACCAGGTGGCATGTTAAATTTTTTTTTGTACTCCGATACCTTTAATTAATATTGAGAATTTCGTTTATATGTAGCGGTTAGTTTATAATTTTCTACCTATATCCGATTAATATAATGGAACTTACGTATTGTAACTAATTATAGATAAATACATGTAATTTTTAATTTGTAATTTGTGAGAGGATGTTCATATGGTGTTTAAAGGTGTTCGAGAGTGTTAAAGGGTGTACGAGTGTGTTCCTAGGGTGTTCGAGGGTGTTAAAGGGTGTACGCGTGTGTTCCTGGGGTGTTCAAGGATGTTCAAGGGTGTTCGAGGATGTTAGAGCCATGGGCGTCGTTTGGAAGGCAAGGGGGGCAGTTGCCCCCCCCCTGGCTTTTACGACTTCACAACGCGTAATGGCTGTATGTCGCAATACTAAATTAGGTAGTAAAATTTAGCCCTAAATTAAGTTATTAATTCAGTACTAAATTTAGAACTAAAAATATTTTTTCCTTTTACAACGATACCAATTTTTAGTACTAAATTAAGTATAGGCGCACGCGCATTGACGTATTATCACGTGAAATTAGCACAGAAATAAAATATTCTCTGTAAATGAGACAAATGAATTAAAAGATGTTTTTATTATGACTTTGACACTGGTTGACTTGACAACAACCAAATGCAGCAATGCTACTAAAAACCACGAAAAAACAAAATAAAATCTATAAAATCAAACGTAAACGAAATTTGTACAAGGCGATAATGTAAAGTTGTCGCTAACCAAAAACAAAATGGTTCAGATTGTTGTGTCAACTTTTTCTGTGAAAAACGTCTGAGCAACATTTCAACGCATTATTAATACCAAATTTAGTGGAAAATATAACAAGTTTCAATTAATTAATTAAATTTAATACTAAATTTGCACCGTGAATTTTTTTAGTACTTTAAAAATGCATTAATTTAGTTCTAAATTTAGTATCGTAACGTACAGCCTTAATATATGAATTACTGATATTTCGTTAGGTAGGTACTATGTGCCACAGTTTGATAACGCTGTATGAGGTAAAATTACGTAACTAACACAATTACACAACTGTCACTGGCTCATATTGTCGATTGTCAACGTGCACGCCTAAAAATAAACTCAAGGCATGTTAGGTAGCCATTAAATTGATTGAATTTTTTAAGGAAATAGAAGAAATAGGTAAACATGACAGGTGTAGAAATCTAAGTGTCAAGAATTACGGACAACAATCTCATAGAAATAATAAATAATATTCAGGCTAATTCAGTTGACTAATATTACAGGTTGAATATATTTATTCCATATCCATATCTTACACGTACCTCTACATTTTACTTTTTTTTAAAAGTTGGTAAACACAAAACAAAAAGCAATAGCAGTTGCTGTGTTGTAAATTGTAAAAATACTAGCAGAAAAAACAGTGAAAATTATATAAATTTTCAGTAGAAAAATGGAAATTAAATCAAAGAAATAAATGGATAGCTGTACAATAAGAAGAAAAAAAACCTTATTTTTTGTAATAACAACAGTAATACTGGAAAAAGTAGACATCAGAAAATTGAAAGGTTTTAAATAAACAATAAATTAATAATTAATTAATTAAATTATTACAATGTTGTTCAAAATCCCTTAATTCTTAAATGTTCAGCAAGGATTAGATTTCTGCCGTTGAATATTGTATGTGGCTGAAATGCAATCTTGTGACTTATTGATAGGAAAACAATTTCAATCATGAATTTCTATGGGTTATTTCGAACTAAAAATATAAATTATAATCGCAAATTTACCAATTATTTTTGTTAATACGTTTTGATACTACTTTATTATATAATGATAATGTTTTTATTTCACATTATTTAATCTTTTCTTCAATGAAAAATTATTGGGCTTAGGCAACATATCATATATTTTCTTATAAATATTGTTGCCTGTCTATGTTT